TATTAAAGAATTTCTTTCTATTAATTCGTTTTCATTTCCATTTGTTGTCATAAATTCTTAACATTTTTTGGAAACCTTTGAGGCATTGGATTATGGATTATATACACTATTTTGCATCAATAATATTTAAATAATATATACTTTCTTTAATAATAATAATAAAAGTCTTATGAATCACATCCACTGATATGTGTTAGCATTTGGAACATATATTACTTACAATTATATATAAGTATAATATTTATTAGAAAACAAGTTTTCAATTGTAAACGACTGGCAGAAGTGCCGTTTCTATGATAATAACGATGTAATCACATATGATTTGCTATAATTTAGGAATCATGAACGCAAACTACTAGTACTACACCTGTAATAGATATATCTTTATATCCAATGCTTTACAAACAACGCAAAGGTAACGGTGTGTCTGTGTGTCTGACTTATGATCGCCGATCGGCTCATGTATTATAAGCTTTGAATTTTGTTACAAACAAACATAAAAAGTGCTTCACATCAGGGAATGACAGATAAATTGCACCGAAATCAGCGTTTTTTAAGCTTAGAAAATTGACTCAAATAAAGAAATAAAAATTATTTTATTATGTAATAGATATATACTATACATATAAATGTGAATAGAGTTTCGACACGACATGGGAATCGGAGGAGACAACAGAAATTGCCGCCAATTTTCATATTAAATTCAAGCTATGATTTAATTTTGCGATTGGATTGAGTCGTCAGAAGTAGTAATGTAAATTACATGTAATATAGAAATTTTATATTACAAAAAGTGTAATATAGCTCTGGCGCCATCTGTTAACTAGGCAATTATGATATTGTAATTAACGCTATTATTTTAAAAATAAATTGAAATACAATTATAATAGCCCTATAAAAGTGTGTTTCGATAATCTATTGGAAATACAAGTCCTAAATGTATTGTAAATTTAGCCATGATTTCTAAATTAGCATTATTCAAGCAAAATGTGTATTTTCTATATTACACTATGTGACGTTATATGACGTCATATGACTGTCACATGTAATATAAAATTCTATATTACATGTAATTTACATTACTACTTCTGACGACTCAATCCAATCGCAAAATTAAATCATAGCTTGAATTTAATATGAAAATTGGCGGCAATTTCTGTTGTCTCCTCCGATTCCCATGTCGTGTCGAAACTCTATTCACATTTATATGTATAGTATATATCTATTACATAATAAAATAATTTTTATTTCTTTATTTGAGTCAATTTTCTGAGCTTAAAAAACGCTGATTTCGGTGCAATTTATCTGTCATTCCCTGATGTGAAGCACTTTTTATGTTTGTTTGTAACAAAATTCAAAGCTTATAATACATGAGCCGATCGGCGATCATAAGTCAGACACACAGACACACAGTTAGTTACCTTTGCGTTGTTTGCAAAGCATTGGGTATAAAGATATATCTTTTACAGGTGTAGTACTAGTAGTTTGTGTTCATGATTCCTAAATTATAGCAAATCATATGTGATTACATCGTTATTATCATAGAAACGGCACTTCTGCCAGTCGTTTACAATTGAAAACTTGTTTTCTAATAAATATTATACTTATATATAATATAATATAATATATGTTACAAATGCTAACACATATCAGTGGATGTGATTCATAAGACTTTTATTATTATTATTAAAGAAAGTATATATTATATTAATATTATTGATGCAAAATAGTGTATATAATCCATAATCCAATGCCTCAAAGGTTTCCAAAAAATGTTAAGAATTTATGACAACAAATGGAAATGAAAACGAATTAATAGAAAGAAATTCTTTAATAAACAGATGTATTGAATAAATTGCATGAAATATAAAGAAATAAAGAAAAGAATATATAATATGTAGTGAAGACTGGGTGTCGTTATCGGGACATCTTTGAGG